GAGGTATTTCAACATCTAAACAACCTGTACGGCTACGCGGACACATTCGGGCTGAATGTTGGTCAGGCTCACACATTTACCTTTGCCACCTTTCTAATCCCCACCCCCCTGCCCCGTTCCTGCAAACATAATCATGGTCCTTCCACCCCGTCCTGCCCGAGGACTCCAGCCCTCTTCTCTCTTCTATCTGACTCTTGGGATTTAGGGACCAGGGGGATGAGCACAGGGGGAAGGTTAGGAGTAAGGGGGTCGAGGAAGAAACCCAGGATGGGAGGGCAGACGTGACTCCTGGGTGCTGTTTCTAAGCTCCAGTGACATAGCCGTGCCCCTGACAGATGAGCGTCCCTGTCCTTATCGAGTTTCTATTCTACTGGGGGCAGATGGGGATAGGAAAAGCATGGGTTAATGCATGTAAAAGCACCTAGCCCTGGGTTTGGCACACGGGAAACACTCAACCGATGGCATGTCCTTCTGTCACCTCTGTCCCCAACCCCATCTCCACAGCTTCCCTGAAGGCTTCTGATAACATACATAAAGCTGGAACCCCATCTGGCTGAAAAAGTCAACCATCTGGAGATTTGGAAATATGGGGGAACTTCTAATGACTGGCTAATTTTTTTCCAGTTTTTCAGCCAGATGTTTGATGTCATCCAGGCCCATCTGTGGCAGAAATTGCAGTGTACTGAAATTCTTTTCATATTTTTAATTTCCCCATCCTGAAATCCTAAATGGGCTTTCTTTTCTTAGTAGGCATTAAAAAAAAAACAAATTGTGAAGGTGTTTATTGATGAATGAAGAGCAATTCAGGAATCAAATAGAAAAATATCAGAAGTTTGAATTACAAGGGTGTCTTATATAGTTTCCAGGGCTCGAAGCTGGCAGCACATGGGTCAAATTCGGCCACCGGTGAGTCTGATTTGGCTGGCACCATGTTTTTTAAAAGTTAAGTTAATGGCCCAGATTTTTAAAATCAAGAGATTTTACATCTGGCTCCTTAAAATTTGGAATATTGGGCCAGGTTGGTACCCATTTCCCCAGGGTGGAAACTGGCTTTAAGTAGCAATTATCCCTTAGGTGGGGGTTGTGCTCTCCAATTTGCCACAATCCCCACCAGTCCCTACTGCCCCCACCTTGAGTTTCAGTTGCCATACATCTGAAATGCACTGTTCCCTTTCCCCGCCCCCATCCTTGAGAGGACTGTGAAATGCTTGTGTCACACTTTACATTTTACCTGCCAAGTCCACATGAACATTTGGGTTTGCTGCTCCCTACTCTTACTCAAAGCTGTCATTTTAGATTTGGGGAAAACCGAGCCCAAAGGAGGAAAATAACACGCACCATTCACATAGCTGTACGTAACATAAATGTGATTAGCAGGCAGGTTTCCTTCCTCCTCACCAGCCAGCGGCCTCGCCACCATCTCAACGCATCCCTTGGATTGTGACTAGGACTTCAAGAGCTTTTCTTAATGAGAGCATCACGTGGCCAGCATGTTCTCATTCATATTCACACGCTGCCATTGAAAAGATGCAGCAGGCTGGGGCGCTACTCTGAATGCCTCCCGTGCTTTCCAGGTACCTAGCCAGGCATTCGGTTGGGTTTCTCAGTGTGGGGATCTCTACAGAGGTCAGTGGTTTTTTTCATTCAGAGCAGGTCCTTTGCTGCCTCTGAGCCTGTGCCTGTCTAGTGGTCCCTGTGCCTCTGCAGACACTGCAGTTCCAGGCTCTGGGGCTCCTGGATGGAAACACCTGTGTGTCTGGGCATTCTCACAAGCGAATGTCGGTACCGGGAGGAACCTACGCACCAGAGCACGAATTAACGTTCTCTAGCAAATGCTCTCAGGCGCAACATGGCTGAGGTGGGGTCGCACCTGTGGAGTTGAAGTATGTGGCTGTGAGCAAGTAATGTAACTTGTCCAGGCCTCAGCTTCCTCGTCTATAAAATAAGGGTGATAAGACTGCCTATATCAGTGCGCTCCTCTGAAGATGAAGGTTAATTTATCAAAACTCTTAGATGGGTCCTAGCCCCTAGTAAACGCTACATATAAATGACATTCTGGTGAGTGACAGAAATGAAAACTGGAAACATCCCCTTTCTCCTGTGAGCAGTAAGACCCTTCCTAACACAGAGTCACTCCCAGCCCATTGTAAATACTCAACACATGCTGGCTTTAATGTCACAATTACTTGGAGGACTTTGAGAAAATTCAGATGCCAGTGACCCTCCACAAACCTATGGAAGCAGAGAATCTAATAAAAAAGGCCTGATGATTTTTTTTTTAAAGCTTCTCATGTGATTCTGATGACCAGCCAAGTTTGGGAGCAATGGATGTCCTCAAATATCTTTCTTATTCTTGACTACCTTTGGTGGTGGGGAACTCATCGCCTCTTATATCTTCCAATTCCACACTGGACACTTTTTTTATACTGAGGGAAAACCTGTTTCCCTCCAGCTCCGATGTCTGCCCTGTGGAGGCCACATGGAACATTTTAAATCCCTTTTTTGTGTGACAGCTCTTCAGATAGTGGCAGACAGCTGCCACGTCCCTGGTGACCTCCCACTCCCCAGTTATTCTTTGACACTTAAAGGACCAGAAAAATGAGATCCTGAGGCTGTGAGAGAAAGGAGCTGCCCAACAGGAGATGGCGGTGAGCCTTCATCCCAGCAGAGCATGGACCTGCCTACTCAGCGTGTGTCTGCCCATGCAGACGTCAGAGGCCACCGCAAATTCCTTGCACACATCACATACTCAGCACATGAGGAAAAACCATGGCTTCAAATTTCAGCCAGGCCCATGGAGGTGTTGGATATATGGGCGCACAGATAGAGAAATTCATTCAAGTTTATGCATCTTACTGTATCTGACACTTCAAAAAAATGTGAGGGGAAAAAAAAAAAGGTAGCTGGGCCAAATTGCATGGCGACTGCAACAGACTTTCTCAGAAGAATTCCCCTGACCAAGAACATAGCTTAGACTCATCCAATCCTTCTTGATTCCAATTCTCACTTCTCACAGACTGCCTGGGTGAGGTTTCAATTCTCTCTACGAGCTGTGGGCGTAGGACATGGTGTCGGACAAGAGAGAAATCATCAGTTGAGGAATTCTAAGGGTTCAGGGATCTTAGGCCCCTAAGGAGGGGAAGCCAAAATTAGTGTTTAATTGTTTATTCCAAGGTTTAGTTCCAAGAGGTAGAAGGATCACAAATAAGTGCAACATGGTTGACATACGTGCCATGTTGAGCTTGGTAGGAGCCTCAGATTTTTTTATGCCACGTAGGCATCAAAACACCCACCAAACTACAGCTCTCCAAAAGATAATTCCATTCCTTACTGTCAATACAGGGCAGGGGATTATGGCATTTTCCCTAAGGTAAATGACTTCACTATACCCAACCACACGTGATCACAAATATTAGCTTTTTGTTGGTGTTTAGGAAAGAATTATTCTAGAATTTCCATCAGCACACCAGATGCAATGAGCTTTGGAAAGCGCTCACTCATGACCACTCACTCCAAACTAACCATTTTGCAGGGTAATAAACTGAGGGTTGGAAAGGGCCAATGTCTTAGCCAAGGTCATACAGATAGTTTGTGGCATTTCCCAGGTATTCTGACTGCACGTGCCATGGTCCCTGTTGCATTTAAAGTGGTCCCTTCCCACCTGGCTTCCCACCAGCTGCAAATGTGCACAGACTCAACTGTAGGAATGCTACAGGCAGGAGAGCAGCTGTTCCGTGTCAGGACATGGGGAGGAGGCCAGGGGATGATGCAACAGTACACTAGCAAATGATGTCATAGCATGATTTCCTAAGCGACTGACATAAATGCAAGTTCTCAAGGAGCCCTGACAAGTGCCAGCCAGTGGGAACGCAGGCATGGAGAACCAATGACAAGCAGGGGAGGGGGGCATATAGGAAACCCAGCTTTCCTTCCCCATCCTTGTGATGAGCTTCACCGGTTCCTGAGAAAACACCCTTCTGCTCCTCTAATCCAGAGCCTACCCTCAGGCACACAGGCTCCAAAAGCTTTGATTTCCTTCTCCATCTTTCCGTTTTCTCCCACTGACATTCAGCCATTGCCCAGTGATGCTGAGAGTGACTCCTGGTGTGTAGTGAAAGCAAGTTTAATAGTGAGATAGGCTGCCCAAGAGCCTGACAACCGAAAATCGACCTGTCCTCTTCATTATAAATGAGAGATCACTAGAAGCAATGAACTGCCGTTCTTAGAGACTCAATCTTACACAAACATCATGGAAATATAGTTGTTGGGTTTGAGGATGGTTTAGAAAAGAAGATAGGTGGATACCAGTACCAAGATGCCAGTGTTGTTTTGATCCCAAAATAATGAAATATGTAGCAATAAAGAAGTTTTTTGAGAGAGAGAGAGAGAGAGAGAGAGAGAGAGAGAGAGAGAGAGAGTGTGTGTGTAGGGGTTCACATATATTAGTCTGGACCTGGTTGACAATGGAAGTTCATGAAAATATCTGGTTATATTAAACTCAGAAAAAACTGGTTAAGACTATGCTGAGAAATAAGGAAAAGCTTAGAGTATATCTGGCTAGGTCAGGGTCTCTCTCCCTCTCCCTCTTCCTCTCCCTCTCCCTCCACATCTCCCCTCTTCCTCTGTCCCTCCCCCCACACTGAAATACAATTTAAGCAAAGCCAAAGACTCCATCTCAAGCCAGAGATCAGAGCAGTTCACAATATACCTAGGGATATTGTATTTGAGGACTTTTTCCAACTGCAGGAGCTGCCTAGAATGCTACAGAATCTCATCATGCAGCTTATACCAAACAACCAACAGGACGCAGCCCCTTCATCCCACACAGCACAGCATCAGTCTTGCTGGGAACAGCCTGGACATCTGCACGTTCTCAGCAATGATTTCAACTAGTCCCCTTTCCCTGTCATTGTCTCTACCCCACCCTCCAAATCCCCAGTGGAATATCAGAAGACCAGAAACTGGGTTATTTGGGGCCATTGACAGGAATTTGTAAGTACCTTCTAGGCAGCAGGTCCTCCACAGCCCCGAATGGGTCATTACTTCTTCGTTCTTCCTGCTGGTTTCATTATCACTTGTAGATTTAGTCCTGCACACACCTCTGGAATATAACCAGTAGTCCGTGCCCACTGCAATGGTCATTAAACTAAAAGCTGCGAAGGCCCCCACAGTGGTGATCAACATCTGGATACCTCTGTCACACATCCTCATAATTCTTCATGGTACTCTGAACGGCTGGGGGTTGGAGGGGAGGTCCAATGCCAGAGGTAAAAAATCACTCTGCAGCTGGGTAACCTAGGGCAGGCTCTTCCAAAAATTCGGGTCTCCTTTTGTCAGCATCCACAGCGACTTTGGGAAAGCTGGGATTTCCTGTCTGGAGCTCTCTCCAATTCCCCGGGTCGCCTATGGCCCTCGGAAGGGTGCAGGCTCCAGGGGGTTGGTCCACATCGCTGCTGCCTTCTGAGGGTCCCTGGGATCCTTTCATTCCTCAGGAGCTTGGTAAAGATGAGGGTCCGTGCAGGGCATGGCTCCGGAGCCTGGAAGTAGCAGCTCGGTTTGAGATGCGCCTGGCTCCTCACAGCCCCGGGAGACTCAAGGCAAAGAAATCCAGAGAGGTCTGTGTGTGCGTGTGTGTGTGTGTGTGTGTGTGTGTGTGTGTGTGCGCGTGTGTGTGCGAGCGCGTGTGCTGGGGGTGAGGGCGGATGGTAAAAAATAGCACTGCTGGGAGGCGAGTCGCTGAGAAGAGTGTTCACTGCTTCCCCAACCTCCCAGGAAAGCTCTCCGCCTGCTACCGACACCCCCGCTCAAACTGGAGGAAAGGCAGTCCTGGGGCGGGGGCCCGCAGGTTTCAGTGGAGGGCAAAGGTCCGCGGTGCTGAACGGACAGCTCCCCGCCCGTTGCCCCGCCTCCGCCTTCCTAACGCCCAGGCTTAGGTCCGTGGTGCTGAACGGACAGCTCCCAGCCGGTCTCTCCCGCGACTGCACCCCCCATCCGGGCTAGAGACCTGGGGTGCAGAAGGGTCCTCCTCCCACCCCCAGGCCCTTCCCCGTCCCTTCCGAGGCCAGCCAGCAGGTTCGGCTCTGCCTAGTCAAGCCCACGCTCCGCGCAAAGTTTGGGGAGCCCAGGGCAGTCAGCGCCCCGGCTCCTTGTGCTGCAGCACGAGCCTGTTCCTCCGCTCCCGCAAGGGTTAAGGAAAGGGGAAGGGGAAAGCAGCCCGCAGCGCACTCTGGCGCTCTCTCAGCTCCCACCCAACGCAGCGTCCCCCCCACCCCACCACCACCAATGAGCCAGGCAAGTTTGTCTTTTGCTGCGGGCGCCGCTGGAGCCCATTGGGAAACACGGAGTCTTCTTAAAGGGACCGGCGACTCGGGGCGACGGTGCTATGGCTCACTTGGGCGGGCAAAATGTGTTGTCACAGGCACGTCTGTGTATAGTCTGTCTCAATTCGGTTCCCCCAGAAAACAAGCCAATATGTCTACCCTCCGTTCTCTGGAGCACTGGCTTACACCAGAGACAGCATGCTCAGATCAGACCCGGAACTGTTCGTATACATATGATCCTGTATTCCTAAAAGACAGAAGGAGAGAAATGTGTGTCGACTCTGCTATACATGTATCAGAGATTTAGGGCGAGGGGGTGTGAGCTACCGGTCTCTGGATGTACCTCATAGATTTTAACATCCCTACATTTGGAGGGAGGGTGATGAAGGCAACGTGGGAGAGAGTGAAAACGTTAGACTCCCCAAAGGTTCCTGGGATGTTCAGCTGTTCACATTTGTGTCTAAGTTAGACCAAGAGGCAGGTAAAGTTAGGACTGCTTTTCTTGTTCATCTGAGGTGCAAATTGCACACCCGAAAACTGGCGTGAGATTCTTCCTTGGGAATGGTCAATGTTGCAAAAAATCAGCGTTTAACCAGCTTTGTATTACTATGTATCCTGGCATCTACATGGGCCCTCACTGAGATGACTAAGAACAATCCACAGGATGCCTTTATTATTTTTTTCCTGTGGCATGATGGAATGGATACCCAGAGGCTGAAGTCTGGAACTGAGGCTGTTTGGGTTATTTCTGCAGTCCCTGAGATGTGTCCATAACCAACTGTCACGTTTGAATGTTATTTAACTGGACAAAAATATAATGGGAGGTCATCACGGGCACAGATATTCTCCTGGTGCCATCTCTGGCTGCCTGAGAGTGTCTATACAGATGACCTAGTAGCAGCAACGTCGTGAATTCTCGGTGCTGCTGACAACTTCTCAGTGACTTTGCTGCTTCTTTGGTGTTAAGTCATTTGAAGAGTTGGTTCTTGGTGTTACAGATACGTGCATGTGCACGCCAAGGTTTGAATATATAGTCATGGTGTGACTATATTCAAATGTTTACTGGGCTGTTTGATTCAGTGCTAAGTTCATTGCAGAAATAAAGCAGGTTGTGGAAAGCCCTGTCTGTAGCGGCTTGCTGTGTCTTGGGCCATGTGCATGTGTTTCTGCAAATGCATAGCCGTGTGCATGTGTGGGTGTGCATGCCTGGGTATAGGTGTCCTGTGGGTTTGTGCACCTCTATGTACTTAATTGAATATGCATGTGCGGTGACTCACAAAGGCTGGTTTGTGGGCAGGAAGTAGAAATCCTGAAAATCTGCCACATAACCAAAATGGAACAGATAAAGTTGGGGCCAGGACCACAGTTAGCCATGCCCCATAAGAATGACACGAGACAGTGGGGGACCATGTATAGGGTCTTCAATAAGTTACTTAGTGGGGTTTTTTTCCAAAAAAAAATTATTGCTTCTCAATAAAATGTCCTGCCTTGATTTCTTTTTCTATCTTTCTTTCTTTCTTTCTTTCTTTCTTTCTTTCTTTCTTTCTTTCTTTCTTTCTTTCTTTTTTTAAAGGAAAAGTCACATGTAACATGGAGGTGAAGGTGGTCTTTCCTGGGAGGGGTTATTAAATATGTGAAATATTCCTTCTCCCTCTGTCAGAAACATAAATAATATGGCAGAATTCCTAATGACCAAAACAGCCATTCTGGGAACTGTTTGTTTCTTTCCTTCCTCTAACAGGGATGAGAAAGGTCTTTTCTGGAAGCAGGACCACGTGGATGAGCTTTGGGCTTAAGGAGAGGGTGCTACAATCACTGTATTCACCAAGCCCACAGTACCACCAGAACAGCTACATCTCCACCTCCTCAGCTCTGTTAGATAAGCCCAGACAGACAAGGTGTGGTGCCCAGGCGGCCCAGGAGAAGGAACCAGGTATCCAGGTAGGACGGTGTGGGGTTGGGGGGGGGGGGAGGGTCAGGAGTTCACGCAGGCAACAACGGCGACCACCATGGGTCAGGATGTGGCCGATCTTTCTGAAGGAGAGAAAGGGACGCGTGTAACGAGAACGGCGCTTTGCACGGAGCCCTTGCAGCACCTGCGCGGGGCCAGAGCGCACCATGCAGTGTGGGAAGTCCTAAGCCTGCGTTTGGAGCAAGTCCGAACACCTGACCGGAGTGGGAGTGCAGAGGCAGGGAGGCAGCCGCTAGCTGCCAATGAAACCTCCCCACTCACTAGGGGGTGACCTCATCCTTTCATTCAGCGCCTGTGTAGGCGTGTGAACATGGGTGTGTAGAATCGGCTTCTAAGCCTGGATGTAACTGCTCGTTTTCACCACTAGAGGGCTCTTCCACTAGCTCCATCAGGGACGCCAGAGGTGGAAAGCACTGTTGTCCTGAGAGTGATGGAGCCGTGCTCTTTCCCTGTGTTTGAGGAGGACCTTCTCTGATCCTGCTTATGTGGCGGGAGGCTTGGGAGGCATTTAGACAGCTCGAAACCGACATCTGATTCTCTTATGAAGGCTTCTTCGCCTCACCCCTTCCATTGCACTCTGAGCTAGCAGAGCAGCTGGCACAGTACGTCTGTGCTTTTTCTGCTCACCCTTTCAATCACCCTCATCTCAGGAGGGGTCAGTGCCCCCCTGAAAGTGGTTTAGGAGGGAGCACTGACCGCTGATTCAATTCAGTAAATGCTTCTTAAGGGCCTACTATGTACAAGACATTCTGCTTAGCACCTTGGAGAATTCAAAGAGATGGTTCCTACCTTCCCCCCCCCTCCCCGCCCCAAGGAGCCCATTATACAGTGGGGATATTTGGTTAGTCCATTTCGGCTGTAAATAGCAGAAACTTACTGGAGCTAGTTTAAGAAATTGGGGGATTTGGGATAAGGTGTTTTATACCATGCACAAAAATATGGGGCAGTGTTTTAAGAAGCCTTGAAGGCAAAGCCACAGTCAGTCCTCAGCAAGGAGCTGGACCCAGGAAATAAAAGCCAACGGGGGTCTTGACGGTGACTCCATTTTTCATCTCTGCCTGTTTTCATGTGTTTTTGTATTTTAGCTGAGCCATCCTGCCACCTGTTGGCAGTTCAGCTCGGGTGGGACTCGAACCGCTGTTGCTCAGAGCTCGCACTCTTGAGTGAGCTCTTAACCAACTGAGCCACTCGGCCGGCCCTTGTTTTCAAGTTTTTAGTTGAGAAACATTGTTTTGCCTTCTCTGCTCTTTGATCCTCAGGAGGTAAACTAGGATTTGAGTTTTTATGTCACCTCTATTCAAGAGAGCCACCCAGACTGAACTAGGCAGTTTTAGTCCCAATTCAAAATTTCCAGGAGAGCCAAACTGATTGGCCTCAGTTCTGTCATGTGCCACTTCCGGGCCCACCCGGCTGTGTTCCCAGAGTCAGTGTCATGTAGTAGAAACGTGGCTATCGGGACCAGCCCCTGTGACATGGGGAGGGGAAGGCAGTTGTCAGATTAGACCCCTCCACAGGCTACTAGGACAAGTCTGGTTGATTCACTTCAGAGCCACTCGGCTGAGGCCACGGGCTCAGCAGTAAAACATGATCACGACGAGAAGACAACACGGCAGGATTTAAGCGCACTGAACGTTTTGGAGACTCCTGCTGGAAGTGCAACAGGCTGGCAGTCAGCGGAACGGGACCAGCCTCACCTTTGTCTATGCCCTTCTCCCAAGGGGCACGGGTTAAAACAGGAAAACTTTTCTGAGGTGAAGTCACCCACACAGGGGTGTACGTTAAGGAGATGGTTCTCGCAAGATACACTGTCCACAGTGGACGAAAGAGCTAGAGGTTGGAATACGGTATGGAAAGTTACAAAGGCGACCGACAGAGGAATCAAAAGTCATCGACAACTATATTTGGGTGAAGTGAGCTAAACTAAGACAGAACTGGGTAACTGGTGACCTTTGGGGAGAGGGACTGGAGTGGCACCAGGATAGCTGCTTTTCCTGCAGGTCCCTTTGATCCTATTGGATGTTAAAAAAAAAACACAAAAAAACCCTTGTGCATGTATATTTTGATAAGTGTTTAAAGCCAATTAAAAAAGAGGGTGATGAAGGCAACGTGGGAGAGAGTGAAA